GGGGGGGGGGGAGGCCGAAGCGCAATCCAAGTTAAAAATGCAGCTATACATAATGTTCTGTCGATACCTCATGTGAAAAGTTCATTAGCTGCTACCAATTTTTCGAAAATATGTTGTTTTACGATTCAGATCGTTAGTCCTTGGTTTATTTATTCGTCGATTGAAAATTAAAAATTAACTTTTATTTTGCTTCCATTATGCTGTCCCTTGAAATCCCTTAAAGAGAGTTCACAATATAATACCTATAGTGGTTATTTCTTTTACACGTAGATGTTTATTCTCATTTCAGCATATAGTAATCGGTGGTCGTCAAGCGGTCTGTCTTCCTCTACAGCTGACCATTCTACCACAACAGTTGAAGAAAGTTGGTTATGCCACACACGCAGTCGGCAAGTACGTTGACCGTTGACTTAATAATTCTGTTTCTATAAATATTAACAAGATCCTCGACGTCTCTTCGACACATCCGAAACTATTACATATTTCTACCGTGTTTCACTTTAGCAATTTATCTGCGTATTAAGGACCGAAGTATAAAGATGCAAGGTGTCAGATGATTTTCATGCCGGCCTCTCAAATTTTTAAGCTAAGATTCCATATACGCGTCATGCGGATCCGCCATGCGTCATGCGTCATCCGTCATGCGTTGGTTTAAGAGGGTATGATTTCATATATGCGGAAGCGGTATCCGTCAAATGGTCTCCGTCATGCGTCAAAAAAAAAATCGCCGGGTGTACCGATTTTTGACGCATCCGGACGCCCTTCCGCGGGGAGATCTCCCAAATGTGACGTATTTTGTGGGGATTCCCTGTCTTTTTTATGCACCAAAGCATCCATCTGTCTAGAAGTCCGTGCGTCAAAAGAAAGATAACGCATACGTTTAACGCACATATGGAATCATATTTGACGCATGGCGGATCCGCAAGGGCCATTTATGTCCGCATGACGCATCCGCATGACGCGTATATGGAATCTTAGCTTTAAGCTGTGTTTTGTTAGTTTGAACACACAATTCAAGACCTCTCGAAGGCGTTTCCATTGTGATAATTTCTGAAAAATTAGAAAGAAAACCTCATGCCCTATTACTAATTCCTACGAACCCCCATGTACCACCACCACCACCACCACCATCACCATTGCCCTAACCATGGTCTTAATACCTGAAATCTGTAACATAGTTAGTGAAAGGTGCAACCTAATTATTGACAGGTTTATCTTTCGTCAGTCCAAAAATGTTGTCCTGAATCAGAAACTGATTGTGATAAAATCGATTTAATTATCAATATGAT